TTCTATAATTAATAAAATATATAAAATATATATTATAGGAAATTTTTATTAAACTATTAAAACTTTATGTTAAATACAAATTTTTTTATCAACATTTTCGAAAAATAGGTAAGAAAACATAAACATTTAAATTTTCTATGAATATCTTTACTAACTCAATATCTAACTCAAAGCATTTTTTTGAAAATCATATCGTCTATTGCATTATATATAAGCATTAGTGAAAATTTCATGTTATTACTATAGTTATTTTTTGAATCACTACAATGAGAAAAAAATTTCGATTTTTTTCGAAAACGGGTATTTCGTAAATTTGGCTGTATTTATATAACTTTTTGCATTTTTCTGTAATTAATAAGAAAACAAGTGTTAGGACTTTTTAGGATTATCAACTTGATATTTCCTGTCTCTTATGATTGTAGCGATTAAAGTAATTTATTTTGTTAGAATCGTATACACAGAATCAAAAAAAAAATAGAATCCAACAAAATAGTGGTGAAGATTCGATTCTCGCTAGAAATTATTAGTTAGTTTTTACAATTTTTTTTTTCAATTTTTCTTAATTGTTTCTTGGTTTTGTTTTATTTTATCAGAAAAATATTTTTCTATGTCTTAGAGAGTACCAGTGGATCTTTAAAATAAATATTTTTAAAGCGTGGATCTAAAACCGTTGCTATGCTTAAAAGTGCAAAACTTTAAACTGAACCAAAACTCTTTTCACAGTGAAATAAGATTTAATTTTTTAACTGAATACTTAATTCTTGTGTAAGTTTGAATTGGTTGATGTTTTTAACCATTATGTACACTATAGGGATAATCATACTTGAAGTATCATATTTTTTACCACAAAATTCTTTGCTTCAATAGGTATTAATAAATCTATAATATCAGAAATATATTTGATTCTTTTGCGGATGTGTCATTGGTGGAGCTGTATTATGTTTTTATGCACAATATCATTGACTATTTTGCTTAGTTTAGTGAAGCGGTCTACCATATAATAAGTACTATTCCATCTGGTTGCCATTTCTTGAATATGTTTTCCATCACCATTGGTTGTTTTTCGCAGTTCGTCGCTTGCCATAACACTTTGCTTGTTATTTTTAACAATATTTTTCACCTAAGAAATTATTTTGTCAGTTTGGAGACACTTGAAATTGCATTCTGTGCAACAAGATTTAGTGTATGTACTAAGCAAAGAATGTGTTGTTTTTTTTCCACAAAATAAATTGATTGCTTTAATCATGTTTGCCGCTCCATCGCTTACCACTGCAACTATTTTTTGTTTGGTAATATTCCATTCTGTACAAACATCTACCAGTTGAGTGGCTATATATTCGCTTGTATGTTTTTCGTTTAGTTCATATGCTCCTAATAATGCTGCGTTGAATTTATATTGATCAACAAAGTGAACTGTAACACTAATATAACTTCTAGTTTGGATGTCTATCCAAATATCTGTCGTCAAAATGAAATATTGTACATTTTTTAATTTGGCCATAAAAATGTCCTTAATTGCATCATATTTTTAAAATATTTTGCTAGAAATAAATCGACGACTGGGTGTACTCTAAAAATTGGAGAAACTCTTTTCATTAAGTATTTAAACCTTTTGTCTTCAACTATGCTTCATATTATAAACATAATTGCATGGATAAGTTTTTCGAATTTGACACCACCTTCTTTGAAGATGCTATAATGCCAAATGATTCTGATGTTTTTTGTCGTTTAAATGCTCCCATAAAAGTTTCATTGATTACGTTATGGTCTCTATTTTGTTTATTTGTACTTGGTTTATCTTTATTAGATAATAAAACATTTTTATGATTATTTTTAGAATTTCAAATTATTTGAACTAAGATTCCCACTCTATTTGATGATTTTATTTTTTTTGACTATGTAAACATATTGTAGTTTTGTCATCGTTTTTTGTAAAAAAAAACTTCCACATATTACGCATTTTGTAATTTTAAACAATCAAATACGAATTATTATTCAATTAACATTAAACTTCAAAATAAAACGTATACAAATACACAGCAATAATAAAATTGTTCTTCACTACATGTAGTCGAAAAACATAATGACAATTAATATTAATATACGTAAATAGAACTGTTTCACCGCACTTAATAAATTTTAATAATAGTTAAGAATTTTTCAAAAATATAGAATAAGACACCGGCATAATCTTTACTCTTATTCTTAGTATTTTAATGCAATAAAGTAAATATAGGGTCTGATCAAAGGTAGGTATTTATTTGGTATACATTAAAAGAAATTCAATATCGTTTCGACATTCGAAAATCGTGTGTTCCAGGTAATACTAATTTACATTTTAAACAGTCATAATATTACTTGTTTATTATATCATACGTTTAACATGTCTTTAAACCTATATGTTTGTCCAAATTTTGATGTATTCTTATGACTGTAATATTACGTTATCTCTTACCTATACAACTTTTTTCCTTATAATAATAATACAAATACCTGATACTAAAGAGTTATTAAAATAAAAACCGCATTGGGTAAATTTCAAAAGGCCGAGCTTAAAAAAAAAAATTTGAAAAAGTATTTTTTTCTTAAAACATAAAACATCGGGGTAAAAAATAGAAATTTTTCTTGAAACATCGAAAAAAAAACATTGATGTTTTTGAAAAATCTATGTATTTTGCTCATCCCTATCTGTAAGTCAATTATTTTGTCAAAGATATTTCAACTCGAAATGTATACTGATTTAAAAAGGGGGAGATGAATTTTAATACAACCTTCATCAACTGAATCAAACCTTCTTTTGAAAAAAAAATAAATAAATAAATAAATAACAACACGTCCTGACGTCATTTGTATATTCCACATTACGCGAGCCGGATTCGCCGGTTTCCGGCATGAAATCTTCGTGGCATTTAACACAATACCACCGGTAAAATTGAATGCATAAGTTGGTGTGCCGTTCGGTTTTTATTTTATTTTTTTTTTTCTCCAGTATTCACTAACCATAAAGAACATTCGTTCCTCCCACAACAAATCAATATTGCGTCCCAGAGATAACAGTTTCACACGGTAAAGCCACGCGACAGTTATTAAATCTGGTAAAAATTTCTTCTTAAAAGCAGATAACGAGGTTTTTTTCCGTTCCCCTTTCTTTCATTGAGGTATTATTGTTATTTTTCTTTTTCCCACTTCCCCCGGCCACCGCCGTAACCCTTACCCGTGCGCACTCGCTCTCCGCCTGTCGCCGCTCGTCGTATTCACTGCCCTCGCGCCCCGCCGCCACGCGATCTTTCCCTTCGGCACTATTTCACTCATCAGGCCCCCGGTTAGTTCTGTTTTTCATTTCCGTTCGTTCTCCCAGAGGGAGAAACGCCCGAGCGTCGCCGCCGATCCGGTTATTTGTGCGCGGTTATACGCACACCAACACCGTACGACGGTGGTTTCTGATAAGAGCTTATTATTGTCGTCGTCGTCGCCGCACAGAGCGAACCGCACCGGCTAATAATGGAAAACACTTTACACCTCCACACAATAACGATAATAATAATAATAATAATAATGTAAACACCAACCAGTCAGTAGATAGACACGTACGATACTGCTACCGGAGACCCGGTATATTGTTTATCGGGGCTGTCAACTTTTGGTTTTGAAAAGTTTTTCGAAAGTGTCATCTTCGTGTTAGCGGAAAATCCGGCAGAGGCGCTTACGGATGCCATCCGCGCGCGGTAGGTTGCGCAGCGTATTCTGAACGCCGGATGTGTCGGCGACGTTATCTCCCGTAGGAAACGCTTCTTCGGGGGGGGGGGTTTTTTTTTTCTTCTTCGCCGCACCGTGGACTTTCGCGTGCCCTAGCTGCGTTCTAGCCGCCGTCGCCGAAAACCGCTCGCAGATATCTCGGCACAGGGAGCGACGTCGCCATCGTCGACGCAGCCGTGGTGTACAATGTCACCCGAACCCTTTTAACCGTGCAGGCGTAGTTCCAATTTTCTACTCGATAAAATCTCTATAGACGTACAACTGAACCGTAACATTGACTCGTAGGTACCGCGGGTTCGACTGCTCGCTGCGAAATAATTAATTTTAAGACGTTTTTGATGTTGATCTCTTAAAAGTTATACGGTTTACGTGTAATTTTTCATACATTTTTTTTTTTTAAACAATATACATTGGCTGTGTATATATATATATATGTTTTTTTTATAAGAGTTATAAAATATACACTAATAACTACACCCACACGCCGCCTATCTAATAAATAAACAACTTGAGACAACGAGTGCTTAATGGGTTTTAATGACGTTATTTACGAATAATTTAGAAATAATTAAATATTAGTTACATACACCGTGGATGACCTCGATATGTTGAAAATGATCAATCTAATCTTTAACAGACCCAGTTAGAATAAAAATAAATTACAACATATAATATTTCATTAAGTATTCGTTCAATAAGCAGTAATTATTGCCAATGAATTATTTTAGTAGTTCCCAATAAATATATGTTTATATAACGTTAACGATTTTAACGAATAAATGTTATAGAATGAAGTATTATCGTGTCCGATATTGAGACTCGAGTGAATGTGAAGTACAATTTAAGTAGACTATATAGTTTCCATAGCGTTTCGAATGAAACTTTAATCCGTTCTTAAAACTCAAGCCTAAGAACCGTGTCTGAAACCCGTTTTTAGATTAACCAGAATAAATATATAGATTCAACTGGCTTAAAGCTTAGTCGAAGAATTATAAACTAAACTCCTTAGATTAATATTAACATCATAATGTATTCGCCTAATATATACATTTAATATTCTTCTTTATGTATATATAAATATAATATTATGGACGTTATACGACGCAGTACGCCGGATACTATAGTTTATAATTTGTCGTATAGTAAAATTAATATTTTTAAATCCGTCGATTTATTATTCATGAATTAACAGTATTTTTAAGTAAAATATATTCATACATCTTTTTTTATCTTTTTTTTTTTAGCAAAGTCCATTCCGGTGCATTGCATAGTAGAATCGATTAACCATGTTTATCAATGGAGCCAAAAGTATTCGCCATCGCTTCACCGCTCTAAAGGTCACGTGGAGTTGGATAGATTTGTCATCATCCCGAATAACACTGCGTTCAGAGACTTAACTGAAGCTGCGTTGGTACGTTTGGGCTACTCGAAGGACACGGCGGCTGCATCGAAGGGCCTTGTAGTGTTAAAAAATTGGTTGCCATTAGATCTGGATACGATTGCTGAGGACCCGGTGTTGACAGTGAACGATGTGCTCGGAGAACTCACGACATTAGCTACTCTCAGAATACTCGTGTTCAGGTACGTGCTTTATGGTTGTATTTACAATCGACGACGCGTGTGCGGTTGTGGTTTCGATACTGTTAAACTATGTGCGTCTAGGATTTAGAACATCATTTTCGTTACCATTTTCAGGGAAGCCAAGAACCGTTTTTCCGATTTAAAAGATAAACTGTTAAAACTGCTGTTGGTGCAGAGTCAAACGCAGCTGACCGCAGCAGGATGTCCATTGGACGAGGCGATAATATTACAGATGATGAAGGTCGGGCAAGCTTGTCCGGACCTGCCGGAAGATTTGTACAAAAAATTTGAACAGTGGTGGATCATGCAGTCCTCGGCAGTGGTTCCGAAAATACCACCATCCGTGCTGCCGCAATCAGTAAGAGACATGTTTTATCGCAATGGATCGTCGCCAAGGCACACCAACCTTCAGGACAACCCCGCAAATTGTATTGTTCCTAAAGCAGACCACTCCAAGACACACAGTCTCCAGGTACAAAAGTGTAACGATGCGTATTATAAAATTGTTATTGTGCTATTTTAAATGCTACACATATTATTCTAATAGCCACAGGCACAGCTAAGTAGGGGAATACCTAATTAAAAGTAATGAACCTCAGAGTTTTTTTTTTACTATCAATATTTGTATAAAATTAAAAATAAAACTATTGAATTTATTATATAAACCTAATAAATTATATAAGGTATATCAAAGTGTTTGGGGGAAAATTTTCTGCAGATTTGTTCGGAAAAATTATGAAGACTACTTCTGTAAAAATTTGAGCCTTAAGTAGTGAGTATTGATAGGTTATTTATATCCTATCTAAAAATATAAAAATGTTAGCTTTAGTTGTGTCTAAGAAAGAAATTATATCGTTGCTATATCGCGTATTATTCGATTAAATCCACGAAATAACGACTGTCGTTTGATAAAATAATTTATATTTATATATATAATAATATATAATATGTTTTTTAAATCGATATTTTTGTTCAGTCTGTTTCTCAAAATCAATTCCAAGGTCAGAAAACCCGTATGCGTACCAGCTTCGATACAGAACTCGAACTTCCGAAATTGCAAGCGTGGTTTGCGGAAAATCCTCATCCGAGTAGACAACAAGTACGTCGACATTGCAGTATTACGCGCGTAATATAATAATACCCAGTGGCGCAACCAGGATTTATTTTTGAGGAGGGTGGTATTTATTTGAAAACAATTTAAATTTAGAAGGTGTTTGATTTGATGAAAATTGATTTAACTACATATTTGGGGGGGGGGGGATAAAATCCCCACTGTCTCTAGTTGCGCCACTGATAATATCAGTAATATGGTATTATGTTACATTAAAATATTATAGATAAACGCGTGCAGTGGTCAAATGTATTGTTATTTATTTTTCGATTTTCATTACGTTTGTTTACATAAGATACACCATTACGTGAGCGAATTGAACAATCTCGAATCGCGAAAAGGCCGTAAGCCGTTAGACGTCAATAATGTTGTGTATTGGTTTAAAAATGCCAGAGCAGCACAAAAACGGGCTGAAGTACGTGGGGCAAATTCAGGTCAGTACTTGTGATACTGTATGTGTATGCGTGTGTGTATATGCACCCATAACGCATGTATAATATACTTAAATTTGACATTATATAACTTTATAACAGTGTAGCTTTCTACGTTGTATTTAATTTGAATTGGTGATACGGTTTATTTTTCTTCAAATAAATCGTGTTGAACCCGAAGTACGATAAAAATTCTCTACAGTAGTATCCGCTTATGAGGTACGCTTTTGGAACACGGTAAAACGTCTCAATGAACCGATTATTTTCAATGGGAGTTTGAGGTTACAAGCCCTTCAGAAACATTCTACATAAAATTACTGTATTTATTTAACAATTATTCGTTCTAAACATGTGCACGTGCGTGTACACGGTTGCGATACGCTATTGCCGAATATAGACTTTGATGAAAAAAGTAACGGAGGGAGGTTTTTTTAGGAAGACCGTATCCGTGTTCTTTACATTTTCTTGCCTCCCGCGCACCACTTACATTATCCCGCGCTTCCTATGTTTGCTAAACGAACGGCACCGAAAAATGATAATTTTTCTCGTCACGCCGATAGGTGGTTGCTAGGAACGTTGAGGAACAATGAATTAGCTTATATCGTTTCGAACAACTCAGCGGATCATCCGTAGCGTTCTCGTGTGCGTTTTTTTTTTTTTTCCGTACACCGTATGCGCGTTCGATTCTGCGCGGCGCATCGGATCGACCTACGCGTGCCGCGGTATTGCATACGTTACGCGCTACGGAATTGGGTTTTGCCGTTTTCCGCCTCACGATCGCACCCCGTCGTTCAAACTCTGGCGTCAGCAGCGACAGCAATAACATTAACCTTGCCGTTGGTTGTTGCCCAGGCGTCGCGGACACGAATTCGGGCAACGGCGACGGGAACGTGAACGGCTACTGCAAGAGCAGCAGTCCTAGCGAGCACGGCGGCAAATCGTACAGCGGACAGGGGTCGGTGAGCGGAGCGGAAGACGACGACGACGACGACGAGGAGGAGTTCGAGGACAACCGGGACGACGACGACGACGACGAAGACGCGAAACCGCCGATGAGCCCGCCCGCGGAACAGCCGATATCGTTGACCACGCACGGCCGGTTTAGCAACGGCGACGGGGAATCGCCCAGACCGCAATCGCGCGGCTCGCAACAGAGCCCGGAGCACAAGGTGAGACGGTCCAGCGAGATCGGTTTTCGGTTTTTGTTTTTCCTCCCGCGCCGCCGGCGCCCGTTGTCTTGCGATTCCCGCGAATAGCTTTTGGACGCGAAACGGTCCACGAGCGTAGGCCCGCGTTGGATCTTTCGGTTTTTCATCGGATTTCGACCGAAAAAATCTCTTAACGTTTTTATCGATTTTTCGCTAACGATTCTCTCCGCACGTACGTTTGTACGGAACTAAAAACAATAGAAGAAATCGATCTTCCAAAGCGGCGACTCCCCAACGTACGCAAACAAAAAACAGGCATAATATTGAAATTGTTCTTTTTAAAACGATGCGTTTCGGAAGTATGCAATATATGTAATTAAAAACGAAAAATTTACAATAAACTCATAGAATATTGATTATAGAATATGTGTATAATAATAGTTATAGAAATGAACTGAACGCAGGTCCCGGTTTAAGATTATATCTTGCGTCGTTTGAACCGGATTTTTTTAAAAAAAAAAAACTATGTAATTCGACATGAGGTCAAGGATCTCACTATATTTGTATGTTACAATTTTTATATTCAAGTAGAATAGTTCATTTATTTTTTATGTGCCTTATTACAAAATACATATATATATATATATATACTATTGTTATTTTAAATTTGAAAATTGTTTAAGTAGTGATGTGAAAAAAAATTTAAAAGTTATAATGAGGGATACAACCTAACAAAATATTAAGCTCAGGGGTACGGAAGAAAAAAAGGTTGGGAATCGCTGTTCTAAGGTAACCTATCACGTTTAAACTGCAGTTACTATAACAAGTGGTTTTTATGTGTACAGTAAATGTAAAAATTTTATTTTATTTTAATCTACAAACATATTCGGGCACTGGTAAACCAGCTGTTTGATATAAAATAAGACGACAATGAGTGGTCATCGTAAACGCTCAACAAAATACATGTGTTCGCCGTCGTTATCTTTGCACCAGTGCGGTTCGCGCAGTATAAACCGTGTTTTTACGCACATCTACTCAGTTTAAGCCAAGATAATATTTTTACTAAATATATTACAAACAAATATCATAAGCTCGTAAATAAGCCGAAAATCCTAGCCTCTTCAGTTTGGAATTTATTTGATATTTACGAGTATTAATGGTCCGGCCTAAAATATTTCAACTATCAATCAATATATTTTCCATGCGCTATTCATACTATAAATTTCATAGTGGTCGTTTGGCGAATATTATTCCAAAGAGCATGCAATAATAGTGCTCAATTACTGTATTTGTGATTTGTATCTATGATACACGTAAATTGTAATAATATTATTTCCTATAATAGTCTCGTTTACGAAACAACATTTACTTTACAGTCGTGCTTATGTTTTTTTAATCTCAGACATTTTATTCGCAATGACTATTTGTTGCGATGCAGCTGATTCTTTCTTCTCGTACGTATCGAAAATTTTTATTGTTCTAATTTTTATTTTTATCATCTTAGTACTTTGGCATAGCAAAGTACTCTGTTGAGCCTCTAATGAAGAAAATAAGTTCTAAGATTTGAAGTACATTTCCGGTGAGTTTAAATTTAAATTATGACTTATAGAATCATAAAATTTATTTTTTTTTAACGTAAGAAAATTTTAAGTTTTAAAATATTTACGTTATGGCTATACAATTTATAACAAAAGTAATTAAAATGATTGTTATAATAGCATAGATAATACTATAATAATACTGTGAATTTTATGTCCTAAAATACTTAAAAATAAAATTATAATATTATCACGAAATAAATCAAACAATTTTAGGTACAAATTTTCTTAGAAAAATCAATATTTAAAATTATTTGTAGACCTGATTTTTAAAGAAATTCTGAAAAAGCTATTATTATTCAAAAATAAAAATAAGTTTATATTTATCACATCATCAATATATATCTACAGTTAGTTTACTAATAACTACCTCAAAGCATGTATAAATTATTTTTAAAAAATGTATTAGAATACTAATTTATTCAAACAAAAAATAACTTAAAAATCAAAATTTCCATATGGTTAGAAATATAAATTCCTAATTTGAATGTACCCCAAACAAAATTACGACACTAACTACAATTATATTTATTAATAAAAATGGGTTTAATTGTATTCCGCATTTTTAATTTTCCACTTATTACAAACAAATACGACAAATTACTATTATACAATAAAATATTTTAAATGTTGATAAATAGTTAATAAGTTATTTCCAAGTATAAACAAAAATACGAAAAAATTGAAATTATTATTTAACTCATCATTAACATACATCGTTATTTACGAAACGAAATCGCCGAGAAAAATTTCAATAAATGCTTACTTAAGAACAATAGTGTTGAGATATTATTTTTCAATATTTTACACTCACTATTGTCTTGGATAAAGAATTCCTTAAAACGTAATTTGAATAAACGCCCGTTCGCTTGATGTAAAAATTGAACTAATATTCAACTTAAAAAAACAATAAAAAGGATTAATCGGTAGGTTGGCAAAATTTATATAAATTACCGTTCAATTCAAATCCTCTTCATTACATGAGGTCGCGTATTGAAATGTCTGCATTGTTTTTCATAAAACATTGCTCGTACCCATTTATGGTTTTAAAACTAAATGAAATTATTTATTTGCGATTGGTGGTAAGTATTAATACATCGCGTTCCCATTAAAATTATTCCAGTCACGTACTTTTAATAACTTTAAAGGAATGGAAACAACATATTTTTACCTATAACACATCTATATAGGTGGTTTACGTTAAAGGGTAAATTATTTGTTTTACGGACGTCGAACAACCACGTACCTATATATTATAGAAGCTAACACTCGATTAACGTTTTACCCTTTAAAAACTTAATAAATTATAAACACGCAGATTAGAGTTTATAAATTAAATTATATAATATATATATATATATATATATATATATATATATATATATATATAAATGTAATTATAATCTGTGTAGTAGTGCTCTGCATGGCCTGGTCTTAATCAGTATTAATATAGTTATATATATATTAGTTATTTTTATATAGTTTTAATCCGTGATCTGATCTAGTACGGTCCTAACATACAAAAGCTATTGAATCGTCAGTTTGGTCTGGTTCAATAATTTTTAGAAATAGTTCGGTCTAGTCCTTAGATCAAATGTATTATTTTCAGTCCGGTTCGGTTAAAAAAAAAAAAAATGAAAATCAGTCCGGTCCGAATCATGGAACTTAAAATCTAAATACAGATATTGTTATGTAAACAAATAAAACGAAAAAACCTACAAATTTAGGTATATATTTATTTATAAAGTTGGGTAGTCGGGTCCAGTGTAATACCAAACACATCATATGGTATGGTCTGAGCAAATACAGACTAAATCTTACTGACCGGTCCATAAACGGTCCAAAATGTTTTAACACCTACAGTCTGGTCCACGGTCTACTTTATTAAATGTTATTTAATTACTGGTCCGGTCCCGTCTAAAAATAATATGAAACTGTCGGTTCGGTCCAATTTTGGTCTTTGATTAACGTTTAAGTGTGGTCCGGTCGGTCTTTGGTCCCCTTGTAAAATTTGAAGTCCGGTCTGGTCCTTAAAATAACGGACCGTGTAGACCACTACTGTGTAGATATTATAAAGCACCTAAATCAAGTAATAATTGATAGGTACTTATTTTTTTTCTCGATGACTTCCTAATTCCAAATTGTAATACAATTTTAATACCACGCTAATTCAATTATTTTCGTTTCTACAAATTATATGGTTAAAAAAAGTACACAATAAAAATTACTCTTAAATTTCTACCTTAACATTGAGCGTATCCTTAATTTAGGGTATGCGTACGAGAAATAAGGCACGTTTTTTCCTTCGGACCACTAACACCCGAAGTAGGTTCAATGATTTTCCGTAGTAATATACATTCAATTAGTGAAGCATTAGTGTATTCAAATATATTGGTATTACGTAGACGTTGCGCAATCCGAAAATTTCACACCGCCGAATCTCACTCTCTTTGATGCCACTTGGCGATTCTTAAAACTAAAACGCTTGTTTCCAACGAGAAATGCTAACCGATGGCAACGTGCGTTCGTTTTGTTTTCTCGCATCAAGGTGATGGTGATCAAGCAAGAACCGCCGGACAAGGAGAAGATGAACGTGACCACGGGCCTGAACAACAACGACTACGAGGACGAGGAGGATTTCGACGAGGACATGGACGACGAAGCGTCCGAAGGCGTCGGAGTCGACGAGAACGGTTGCAAACGGCTACTATTGCAACAGTCCGTCGCGTCGTCCACTGCGTGTAGCCCGGACGATGCGAGCGCTGGAGGACACCACCGCGCGACACCGCCGGCGCACCCGCCGCCGCCGCCGCCGCCGCCATTGTTCCATCGGTCAGCGGCCGCAGCCGCGGCAGCCGCGGCCGCGGCCGCCGACCTGCACCAGCCGCTCGTCCGGCCCGGGTTCCCGATGGTGCCAAACTCGATGTTCAGCCACAGCTTCATGTACATGAGCCAATGCTTGCCCGGCTTCAACATGGGCCGCCGACCGCAGACCGGCACTCCTCCGCCGCCTCCGCAATCGCAACAGCCGCAGGTCAGTACTTAGCCCACGAGCGCGCCGCGCGGAAGGGTTCCCCGGGGACGGGGGGGGACGGGGAAGGATACCGGCAGCGCGTTACAACGGCGTCCGTGCGCCGAATCTTAGCGATCGCTTCCAGTTCAGGGCCGTGTGGATAGAAATCGAGGGCCTTGGGGACAAATTAATCCAGGCCCTTCTCACGCGAGGAGTATTAAACTTGCCGCTGATGTCCAGTGTTTTTTTTTAAAACGTGTACACCAAAGAGATAATGCAATCGCAGTCGTGGTCATTCCACGGACTAAATGAAAATAATCATTTATAGCCTATGGGTCTTTTTAATTATTCGGGTAGGCTATTAGCACACGATTCATGTTGGTGTTCCATAAACAGCTCGACACCATGACCGAAACGTAGTGAACTTGGTCAAGCCCCGGGCTACGGCCCCAGTTGATCCCGCCTCTCTTGTCGGGCCATGTTCGAGATACACGGCATGTTTATGATTTTTGTGACAATATCACGACGACACGGCAACGACGCGTTTCCACAGTCGGACGTTTTTTCCGATTATTGTTCTACGCGTGGTAATATCGTTAGAAACGTCGTAATGTTATCGACAGCGTTAACGTACTCGGGCGCCAACCGCTGCCTGAAAATCTCAATCCCTTTTCGTGTTACGGTGTATCGAAACATTCGTAAAACTATTGCCCCGTGAAGATGGCGATCGATTTTTTTGCCAAAATTTTCAGTTAAATTTTCCGTCAGTGTTTCGTAATATTTTAAAATAAGAATCGCAAACCGTTGCGAAAAAAATAAGAATCAGAAATTTCGGTTCGCAGACCAGGGGACTGATTTATTTTCTTCGTTATTAAATTGTTCATAACTACTTCATTAACTTAATTTTGACTAAAACCGTACTTCGAATGTTTAAAAAATAAAATCACCTATTTCGATATCTAACACTTGATGTCAGAGTTTTGTTATATTTGTGTAGTATAGGTAACACTGAAAATGAGATGAAGTGATGACGATGAAAACTCTAATAGTATTATAAATACCTGCAATGATGATGATGACTATAATAATATATTGAAAATAATAACCATCATTGTGTGAAAACAATTTCTGTATTTACATTCGTTCATCGTTCCATCAAAAAACTTACTTTGAACAACACTCGTAACCGTTTTTAAAATCACAGAGTGATCAAAGACCCCAGAATCTTTAGTTGACGACTGTGTTTAATGTAGCGAACATAATGTAGCAGCGATCATCGCATACACATTTTATCGCCGAATCGAGTGTACTTTGTATCGACGTTTGTAGTTGCTCGGGTGCGAAATTGAGGGTATTTGCGAAAGTTGATCACGAGTAACAGGAATGAAGAAAATGATTGGTCGTTAATTTTAATGCTCCGGAAAAGTTAAGACGCGTGTAAGAATAGCTATATATTATTATGTACTGTACTTTACCCGTCCGAACGGGATGTAATGATATAATACTCGTAGGAGTCGTAGGAGCAACGTGATCGCAATACAAATATTGTGTGTAAAAGATATAGCGTTGCTGTGAAAATGGAACCGATCGAATGTCGTTACACCAGTAACAAATTACGCTTAACTCCACGTTAAAACTACAATTCGAGTGTTTTTATTCACTAATCAGTACCTATAATCCAATAGTTAATATTATTAAATCACAAAGGCTGAACGTCGAGTAATTGTTTACCGATAATCTTTAGATTGTCAAAAGTGTTTTCACAGTGTAAACATCACAACATAATATATTACATTATGAAAACCAGCTCACCAATACTAATCGTTATTCCGCCTGTAACTGTATTAAATACAACTACTACTACATATAACGCGCTCTTTAAAACAGATAAAGTATCTTAGAACCGGTATTAAGTATAAAATACTTGACGGAAAAAGCAAACACAATGCTGAACGTATTATGATTAATCGACAGAAAAATTACTTGTTATACTAAAAACTCGAACGGATTAACAGCGATTATTTTCAGTAAACCACTCGGGACTTCTCACGATCGTCTGAAAAATCGATAATGCATATAATGATATTCACGATGGTCTAAACACGTGACCGATATGAAACTCAACTGGTGCACGATATGTGTTTATTTGTATTTCAAGAATGATTATCGTTCACGACGATTCTTTATTATTGTTAACCATAATAACCGGACAAAATATTATGAGTGCAACGACTTTGAATGTAATATTTTACTCTTTACGTTTAATTTAACGATTAACATGGTATCAGTTAAGATTTTATTTTTTTTATATTATATTTGTTTCACTGAAAACATGTAGTTCCCGAAAAACACGCAATGGCATTTAAGTATAAATATGACAAAAAAAAAAAAAATTAAAAATGACATTTGAAATATGATCATTTTTCAATCGACTAATATTGATCCGTTATATTATACCGATTACGTTTCAAAAACCAAATGTTTTGAGAAAAACACCACATCTCTTCTTGGCATAATTATAAGCACAATTATTATTATAATAGTTCGGTGTGAATTATTATAATTATCGCACGCTTCGCCCGGAAAGTAAATGTGACTGTAAACGCAATAATATAATAATAACTAGGACTCAAAACTTTGTGTTAAACTGTTAAAAAACATTTAAATTTGTACACACGTAGGTTTACCTTAAAACAGAAAAATATTATCAACCTTTTGTTAAATCTTACAACAAGAATTGAACACAATTGTAATACTGCTACAGGAAATAATATATATTCTTTATATATTTTCGAGCTACTCATGCATAGGTAACATTACGAACATTTTTTTATTTAAGATACGGCTCTAACCCGATGCCAGTGGTATGGACGTATCGGCTCTCAAACAACAAAATGTTCCTTCCCATTTATTATAGGCTGATGGCCGACAGTTAGAGAAAATCCCTATTGGCATGGTTAAAAACTATGTTGACGTATAAAATAAATAAATAAATAAAATAAATCTTATATAATGTAACTAAATGCTATTTTTAGCAATAATTAATAACGAGTTAATTGAATTAATTCGAATTGCATACCTTTTGTTTGGGAGAAATATTGAATTATTAAAAAAAAATTTGTTTGCATTACGAATGTTAGTATCCACAATAACTCCGTGGGAAAAGGAATTTTTTCAATATCTCGTTTAGTTGTGTGCAAAAGAATGTAATGGTAATATATTTTTGATGATTGATGTTGATTTTGTCCACGCAGTGTACAGTTTCACGGCGATTTTCGAATTGGATTAGAGTTTTGAATTTAGTTTTGTGTTTCAATCCAATTAATTAAATGATTGACGGTGGTTAACCACTTTGTAAGCTGTTGTTAAGTCTGCGAGACAAACTAAAATATCTTCCGGAGTGTTTTAATTAACCATAAATGTCAAAATATTCCGTTAAGTAGATGTTATCAGTGTATTGGACTTGTTGTGGTCAAGCATTGAACCACTGTGACTCACGGAAAATAAATACTCGTAAATTGCTATGTGCTTCATATTAATTTTGAGCCCCTTTTATGGACGACCATTCTTTGATGTAATTATCTGTAAAACGACATTTTCGTTTTGGCATTGTTGATAATCCGTAAAGTCGTAAACTGTAAGACATGATTTCAATTTACACTCAAAATCACAACTGCATTAAATGGTAATCTTGTTCGAAATAATTAAACATCACTACGCTTAATGGTCTATTCGTTCATAAAATGCCAATAAATTAAAAAATAAAATTCGTAAAACGTATAACTGTACCTACACAATAAGAATATATTTTATAACATTACACGTGACGTGAGATTCGTAAAAATTGGTTTTTCTATTCTTATAAAACGCTCTCTTCCCACGCAGACGGTTCGACCAATCGCCAAAAACGCTTTTTAACCAATTAAAATTTGATGTTACGATATTTTTTTGAACCTTCAATTTTACTAATATTCCTAAGTATACAGTTTATATTCATAAGTTGTTATTACAGTGATAATTTTTAACTTTAAAAATTTCTCGCTTTATGACAAGCAAATTCATCGATAATTTCTTCATATAAAATTTACTATTTAAATGTCCTTGCGCTACTTTCATAATCTTATCATTTAATTCACACGTAGTGTGTACAAATAGAACACATCTACGTATTTCAAAAAGTATAACGAAAAAATTACGACTTTTGCACAATTTTGGCCTCCTTTGCAATTCGAGGCGCTGGCGTAGGCACAGTTCGACATACCCTTGCTACGCCACTGTACAGGACGAATTTTCGTCGGCGTGAATTTCGATTGGTCGTGCGAACGATTACGGAAACACGGGCGTCTGTTGGCGGCCGGCGGGGAAAGGAAAGTCCCGAAAGTCCCTAGACGCGCGAGACCGATCCGGGGCCGCGATACAGCGCTTGACGTGCGATACGGCGCTCGACGTCGTCCGGGCGCGATAGCGAGACGAGACACGGCGACGACGACGACGAGCGCCGGCCGCAGCGGTAGCGCGTGAACGATGCACAATACGACGTACAACAATAATACAATGTGGGCGCGCGCGTGTTTCGACAGGTGTCGTCCGGAGCAGCGACGGCCGCGGGCCTGAACCTGTCGGCGCTGGCCGAGGAGCGCCGGAAACGGAACCGGACGTTCATCGACCCGGTGAGCGAGGTGCCGCGGCTCGAGCAGTGGTTCGAGCACAACACGCACCCGTCGCACAGCCTGATCGCCAAGTACACGGACGAGCTGAACCGGATGCCGTACCGGCAGAAGTTCCCGCGGCTCGAGTCCAAGAACGTGCAGTTCTGGTTCAAGAACCGCCGGGCCAAGTGCAAGCGGCTCAAGATGTCCCTGTACGACGCCATGTCGCCCAAGGACCAGTTCTCCATGCCCACGTACCTCAACCACGATTGAAGCCGTCGACCGTCTCTTCCACTCCCGTCCTATCCCTTACGCACGTCCCTCCCCTCTCCGCCCGGACCGGCAGACTTGAATGATGTGCAACGAGAATGTATACTAATAACAACAACGATAACATCATCAGTTGGTCGGTGTTGTTTTTGCGCGATTCAAGATAATACTGAAGTAATAATGAACGAGTTGAAATAATAATAACATCGATATCGTACCCTTTCCCAATGATTCGGGCCCGTCGACGCGACGGTAACGCAAAACGAAAAAAAGTAACGTACGGGTGAAATCATAAAGATGGGATGCTCTTCGTCACCGCACCACCGATTTTCGTCGTGGACGCACGCGTCTCGATCGCCACGCGTTTTACCCTCCTCGACCTTTCTCGCATATCGTATTTATTTCTTTAGTCGAACTAGTCAAAAAAAAAAAAAAAAAAGAAAAGAAAAAAAAAACTATTAGAAATTATGATTTATTTACCTAACTTTTTTTTTATCTTATTTTGCCCCGTTCAAACGTTCGTTGTGTTATCGTTTACACGTAATATGTCTCTCGAGCAAGACAGTTTAAACGAGGACAAATTAAAATAACAATCAGTGTCGCGAGGACGTATAATAATATTATCGTACGAACAAATGTTCTGACCGTTGTTCGTGTACAACCGTCAGTCCCTCTGAAAAGCGCAATAGGTGAGTTGATTCCCGAGACCTTTCTCATGTATAAGTTGATTCCCTGGTCATTAAGAGGTACGTACGAGTTGATTCCCAGATCATTATATATTTTATTTAATATTTAGTAAAATATTCAGCCTATTAGCATAACCCAAGAAACAACACGAGGAGGTTGGCTGACAAGTTTCTCAAAAATGTTGTTTTTTTTAGTTTTTTCATATTTTGAAAATCGTTTAATTTTTATTTATTAATTATTTATTGAATTATATTATATTTATTAAAATTTAGTAGTAATTAGGTAAAAAATTATTATTAAAAACATTTAGTAGTAACTAGGTAAAAAAATATAAAAAAAATTTAGGAATTTGGTAGAAATTTGTAACACATTGTTTTTATAAATTGGTTATGATATTACCTGTATACCGTGACATCTCTTCTCTTAAAAAAATTTGTTTTTCTTGTTATTTTTTAGATTCCTTAGTTCCATTACTCCTGCATTTAATATAAGTTCCTGATTGTACTTCTAACAGCTCATTTATAAATACAAAAATATTTGGATGCCCACTATAGAAACAATTGTTGAGCTTAGAACGAAAACTCTCACAATTATTCGTAGTTCTATTTAAAGTAGTTGAGAATTGAGATTTTTTGTAAATTCACGTGTGGTCTCGGTGGACATAGAGCGAATTGTGTGCGACGGTCGAACTCTTTACGGTCGTAAACTCTTTACTCGTGCAATCTATTGATAATTGGTATACAACAATAGGGAATCAACTCGTAGGTACCCTCTAATGACCTGGGAATCAACTCAACGGTGTCGGTGCAGGTAACAGGTACCCGGGAATTAACTCGTACGCAGCCCTGAAAAGGTTCCGGAGCACATGCACTTGTCAGCGTACGCGGAGATCACGTTTTCTCGCCCGCGCTCGACTTGAATGATTCGACATTTTTAACACACGATACGATTGTATACACGCGTGTACGGTCGAGGACACTTGACGACGACCCAGTGGTTTATTCACGTTGTTCGATACCGCGTTCACGGTAATGTACGGTGTTCAGTAGACACCTATTATAATATGTTTACTAATTTTTACCGGAAGGTAAATATATATAGCGCGCTTTATTTTCGTTCTTCATTTTAGTTTAAGATATTAAACTATTAATTTTTACTACGCTGAATCTTCAGACACAATGACATTCTGTAGATCGGACCAATATGATCTCTCGCTTACGGTTTTTGTTGGTTTGTTTATGTATTTTTTTTTTTTTCTAGTTTGTTATCGTTGGTTTTTTTTTTTTGTTTATGTTTAATTTTTTTAACGAATCGCCTTCGTGGTATACGCTTGGACATTAAATATATGTTAATATATATTTAAACGCTGTATATATATATATATATATATATATATATATATACGAGTATGTATACTCAACGCTAAACGCGTTTAAGGCTACGGGACGAACGAACCGTCCGAAATTCATAATTGGCAGTTAAAGTTATCTATTATAACATCATCGAAACCAAAGATTTATGTTCAATGTACGGTAATTTTTTTTTCTAATTTATAAATTCAAATTCGATTATTTATGTATGATTAACGTGTATTATACAATAATTTATTGTATATATATTTATTAAATTATTATAATTATTATGATAAAAAAGTGTTTTGAATAGATATTTAGGGTTTTGTTGGTAACAATTAAGCGTTATAGTTATAAAACGTTTTTTTTTTTGTATTTTTATTTATTGATATGTAAATTTTTTTTTTGTTCTACTAGTTTACATAATAAAATAATCGTCCTATTATTAATTTATTTTAAAATCCTATATGTATATCCAATTACACCGAATCTATTTTAACGAGAATTTTGGTTTAATTATTTCGCGAAAACCCTTTGCTGCTACTCCATATCCCGCGTCTCCCTATTTTACTGTTGTAACTGTTCAATGAATGTTAAAAAAAAATATATATATATAAATAAATGAAAATAGAGGGTCGTTTACAAATTCAAAAGGGCCGCTAAGAATTGAGAGCCGATTTAATTAAATTTTTTTTTTCACATGTATTTTTTTCTTTTTTTCCGCTCTTCTCTTACTTCTCTATGTATTTTTAATTCTAAGAGATTTAATAAATAAAAATTAGTACTGAGGTGCTATGAGGGGGTAATGGTGGTTACCAGTAATGCAATTTAAAAACATAATCCAAGATTTATTTAGTGGAATTTCGTATGTACACACACACACACACACACACACATAGATGCGACAGACGTTTGTTCGGGAATAATGTTAAAAACTTCTTATTTTTCTCCGCTGCAGAATAAGAAACATAGCTCGCAGTAAACGATTAAAGGATTTTCCGTCATTTGTTCGAAAAAAATATATGTATATACATTTGCGGGGATCCGAATCGAATGGACCAGCGACAAGGTTTGTTTAACATTTGTTTTGCTTCATTTTTTTTTTTTTTTTTTTTATTTGCATTTGGAAAATAAAAAGAAGAGCCCAGTGTTTGTTTTTCGAGAAACTTAATTAATTTCGGGTGACTTAACTGAACCGAACCCGTTATGGCAATATCATATCATGTTCACGCTCCTTAACCGCTTTCGTCCCGCGCGGCTAATCGCAGAATATAAATTTCGGTTCGGAAACGATTTCTAGATATTGTTTCCGAACGAAATGACATCGGTCACGCAGCAACCACGGAAATGTTCGAGTGACGAGACGTAGGGTTTCCGACGGGGTGTAGTCGTGATCGTGCACGGACCATGCACGCGGTCCGCTTGGAAAATGCGTGTTGAAACACTCCGATCCGAGCGCTGGTACGTAAATAAAACCTTAATGTTTTCGGTTCGATTTCGAGACATCAAACGTCGCCTGATAACGTTTCACGACAAACGTTAATCAGCGGTGAAAATTTTCTTCCGCCGAGTTACGAAAAACGTACGGTAGCTCCTGTGTTCGGCCACCGCCACTTTTACGCACACATAACCTCGTCAATTCCAATCTCATCTCAATCATGACACCTTTGGTCGATTCGCCGCCCGTCAGACCCGGGAATTCTGTACAGAGCTGAGGCTCAAGTTGTACCGTCGGCCAATCGGTCGTGAGGCAATGACCTCGTGAAATTTATAAACACCGCATCGTACCGCCACTAATAGATATCTAAATCTGCAGAATTCACCGAACCATATTAGTACCTATTTATTAGCGATCCGTAGGCGGTATTTTGTTACGCGCATACTCACTTGCATGCGTTACTCTAACACGCGCGCGCACATACGAATCACGCGTTATACGCAACGCGAACAAACATAAATGTAGTTTTTCGTTTTAAATTTTTTACCACGTATTCATTTGTTGTGTTAACGTTTGAGCAACAGATATTATAACTTAAGAACGGCGTTGGAAAGAAATACAATTACAACGCACTTCGTATTAGTACACTAAAACACGTATTTTCATTGGCACCACGTGACTTGAACAATTGTGTAACGGGTACAGTATAATACGATATTAGCGAATCCTTTATCAGTATAATACGAACATCTCATAAGAAATGAAAAAAAAAAAAAAAAAGGAGAGAAGAAAAATTAAAAATTCAGTCGTCGTCGTACCACAATGATCGTCGTGCGATCATCTCAATATGAACTGCAATGGATCTAAGAATATTTTATGTACATATACCCTTATATTAACAGCGCACCCTTGGTGTCGTCCTAAAAATAAATTTACTTTGTCGCGTTTAACCGACATCGTGTGCCTACTCTGCAGCAGTTCTGATAGATATTACTGATACAATATTGGTATGATTAATATTATTGATTATTTTTTTTTTTAATCATTTTTAAATTAAAACTTAATTTATTAATGACTTTCTACATATGGTCACTTTTTTTTATTAAAACTTTATTTATTAATTATTAATCATAGGTCTATATTGAAGCAGGTAAAAAATTGAACCATAGTTACCTCACTAATTAAATCTGAGTTTTTTTTTTTTTTAGTTTCTAATTCTTCCGTTTTATATTTTAAAATATCCTTCTTTTTTTCAAACTTTTTTCTGTTATTGCTGTCCCGACCCCGTAACACTATATAAATATCGCTTTGAAAATTAAATTTTTTTTTAAATATCTAGACACGCGGTCACATTTACCGGTCAGATTTAATTTTCAAAAGACGGTAAGGAAACCCGGTACCCGCGTGGGAGGTCATTATTGTTGACTCGGTTCGGATTACATACCTATTTATATATTTTATGTAAACCGAACCGGGCTGATAGTTTGTAAGCAACGAATAAGAGGTGTTCGAAAATTTCGGGTAGCCAAAATCTAAAAATGATCGATTGTGCTCGTGTTTTTTTTTCTTTTCTATATTTTTATTTGTCAAGAACTGCAGCAGACTTTCGATAATCCGATAAACATCAGACCAGAGAACTGTCGCATTAACGGAAACGCCGCCGATTGATGGAGATTCACATAAAAACGCATTTTTACTTATCGTAAAACCTTAATTAAATTTATTAAAAACCTATAAATAACACATACATACGTACTGATTTATGAAATACTGTGACTTAATCTTTTTACGGTACAGGTTTAAAAAAAAAAAAAAACTGATCAATTTGCTTTTGTTTTTTATTTCAAACGATGCTTTTAAGACAACATTTTAAGATAAAATACTGTCGGATTACTGGACGTACCGGATTATCGAACGGCCGGATTACCGAGAGTCTACTGTTTACAATTACAATAAATTACCACGCGAAGGCGATTCTCATTTCATACTATGACAGTTACTTTTTTCCACGCCGTTGTATCTTAAAGATTTTCACAATGTTTCGTGTTGCTCGTGTTTCTCTAAGATTTGTGTACGCGGAAACATCGTCATCGTTTCGAAATAATTATTCCAAATCGAATTTTATTACTATCGTACCAACACAGACTTACACGAGGGACTTATAACACGAAACCGGTAATCTACATTTCGATGTTTTGATTTAAAATTTTTACCGTTTCACAAATAAAATCAGACCGTCCATTTAAGACGCAGCACGATCTATGTTTTTGCAGCGGAATACTATCGTAGAAAATAACTGACGAACGGTTTTCACAGTCACACTTGGGTGGTTTTTTTTTCTTCTATTCGCAGTCCGTTAAAAGTTCGTGAAGTCTACATGTTCCTTACGATATTGAAATGTGTATACAATCGTACGTATTATTGTTCGCGTATTTTAAAATATCTATGAAAAAATAAT